ACCCTATGAGCCCCCGACACCCGAGGCCCTGAACCCTAGAAGGCTTAAAGACATGAAGGGTTCGTAGGGATTAGGGTTTAGGGTTTAGGGTTTAGGGTTTAGGGTTTAGGGTTTAGGGTTAGGGTTTAGGGGCTTCACCGCTTCGGGCCATGCAAGAAACAGAGACCCTCAACCCACACCCTCAAGCCCCGATCTCCAAGTAGGGCTTCAAGTTTTGTGGTTTCGGGCCCCCCCGAAACCACAAAACTTTAAGCCCTGCTTGGAGATCGGGGCTTGAGGGTGTGGGTTGAGGGTCTCTGTTTCTTGCATGGCCCGAAGCGGTGAAGCCCCTAAACCCTAACCCCAAACCCCTAACCCCTAAACCCTAAACCCTAAACCCTAACCCCTAAACCCTAAACCCGAAACCCTAAACCCCCAAACCCTAAACCCTAAACCCCAAACCCCAAACCCTAAAGCCTAAACCCCTAAACCCTAAACCCCTCAACCTCAACCTACCTCAGGGCCGACAGGTGCACTCCAAGCCTTAAACCCCTAAACCCCAAAACCCCTAAACCCCTAAACACGTAAACCCCCTACGAAACCCGAAACCCGAAACCCTAAACCTCAGATCCTAAACCCTAAACCCTAAACCCTAGACCCTAAACCCTAAACCCTAAACCCTAAACCCTAAACCCTAAACCCTCGACAGGTGCAGCAGCAGCTTGCCCCTCTGGCCTGCCGCCTCGGTGCCTCAGCCGTGCCGTCCTCGGCGGGGTTTGGGAGCCAAAGTGTTCCTGCTTGGAGGTTTAGGGTTTAGGGTTTAGGGTTTAGGGTTTAGGGTTTAGGGTTTAGGATTTAGGATTTAGGATTTAGGGTTTACGTATTAGGGTTTAGGGGCTAGGGTTCAGCAAGCTGCTGCTGCACCTCGCGGCCCGAAGGTAGTATAGGGGCCTAGATCTTTTGAACAGGGTTTAGGGTTTGGGGTTTAGGGTTTAGGGTTTAGGGTTAAGGGTTTAGGGCCAAAGTGGTGCCCGACTTCAGGCGTTAGCGTTTAGGCTTGATGGGGCTTTCGGGTTTGAAGCTTGGTGGGTTTTGTAGGGTTTGTAGGGGTTTGTGGGGGTTTGTAGGGTTGGTAGGGTTGGTAGGGTTGGTAGGGTTTGTCGGGCTCAGAGGGTTTAGAGAGTTCAGAGGGTTTGTAGGGTCTAGGGTTCTGAGAGTTTCAAGCCTCCTTGGAGGTTCATGGCTACTTCTGAGCCCAAACCCCCAAAACCAACCTTAAAAGCCTAAGCCTTAGACCACCCTAAGCCCCACACCCTAAGCCCTAAACACTAAACCCTAAACCCTAAACCCTAAACCCTGGACCCTAAAACCTAAACCCTGAACCCTAAACCCTAAACCGCAGCCTCTGAAGTTGGGCGTGTGTGAGGCACGTGGTGACTTCGGCTGACGACCCACTTGTGGCAATCTACCGCCACAAAGCCCGGAGGTCGGGTGCGCAGGCTCTAAGCCCCAAGGGTTTAGGGGGTTTAGGATCTGAGGTTTAGGGTTTAGGGTTTAGGGTTGAGGGTTGAGGGTTGAGGGTTGAGGATCTGAGGTTTAGGGCTTGGGGTTTGGGGTTTGGGGTTTGGGTTTGGGTTTCGGGTTTGGGGTTTGGCGTTGGAATCTACGATAAACCCTATAAACCCTGTAAAACCTAGAGACCCTATAAACCCTCTAGACTCTGTAAACCCTATAAGGCCTATAAACCCTATAAACCCTGTAAACCCTGTTACCCCTATAAACCCTATAGACCCTATAGACCCTATAAACCCTGTAAACCCCAACCCTAACCCCCAAAAAACCCAACACCCCAAAAATCCAAAACCCTAAACCCTAAACCCAAAACCCAAAAACCTAAGCCCTAAACCCTAAACCCTAAACCCTAAACCCTAAACTCTAAACCCTAAGACAGCGAAGAGCCCTGTCAGGAACCACCCGGAGTACCAGCGCCAGGTGAGAGCCCTGGCCGAACGGGTCCTGTGCCTGGAGGAGCCTGGAGCCGCAAATTGGGGGTAAGGGTTTAGGGTTTAGGGTTTAGGGTTTAGGGTTTAGGGTTTAGAGTTTAGGGTGTTTGGGGTCCTTGTTAGAAAGGAATCCTGCCATTTGGGGGTCTAAATTACCGGAGCCCCAGTGCCCCAAACTTTGTTGTTCAGGGTTTAGGGTGTGGGGTTTGGCGTCTAGGGCTTGGGGTTTGGGGTTTGGGGTTTGGGGTTTGGGGTGTGGGTTTTTTTGGGTTTAGGGTTCAGGCTTTAGGGTTTAGGGTTCAGGGTTTAGGGTTTAGGGTTTCGGGTTTAGGGTTCCTGAATCATCTGAGGTTAAAAAGTGGCTCTTGGCCAGGCCCCTTCGACCCTTCTGAAGCCCCGAGTCTTAAATGAAATCGACCCCTGACCTTGCATCCTCATTAACCCCAACTCCTACACCCAACCCTAAGCCCCAAACCCTAAATCCCTAAACCCTAAATCCCTAAACCCTAAACCCTAAATCCCTAAACCCTAAACCCTAAACCCTAAACCCTAAATCCCTTCCAGACCCTTCTCGGAGGTTTAGGGTTTAGAGCTTATAGGGTTTAGGGTTTGTAGGCCTCACCCTGATTCCAAGCCCCAGGGCTTCCAAAATTCCAAGCCCTGGAGCCCAAGACCCGCAATCCCTGCACCCTATTAGGGTTTAGGGTTTAAGGTTTAGGGTTTAGGGTTTAGGGTTTAGGTTTAGGGTTTAGGGTTTCAGGGTAACTCAAACTTCAAACTGTATACCCCGGACCCTAAACCCTTAAAGGGGCTCTATTACCGGGTAATTCCCCAATGCCTCGTAATTCTGCACCCTACCCCCTGAACCCTACTTGGAAGGCCTTTTGACTTAGCAAGTAGGGTTCGTAAGCCGGGCTATGGGGATTATTATAGGGCTTCTAGGGTTTAGGGCTTCAACAACCCTAAACCCTAAACCCTAAACCCTAAACCCTAAACCCTAAACCCTAAACCCTAAACCCTAAACCCTAAACCCTAAACCCTAAACCCTAAACCCTAAATCCTAAACCCTAAACCCTAAACCCTAAACCCTAAACCCTAAACCCTAAACTGAGGGTTTGTAGGGGATACTAAGTAAACTTACAACCTCAAGCCCTGGAACCCTGGCAAATTCGGCGCACCTACCTTTAGGGTTTAGAGTTTAGGGGTTAGGGTTTAGGGTTTAGGGTTTAGGGTTTAGTGTACGTAGTTTAGGGTTTAGGGTTTAGGGTTTAGGGTTCAGGGTTTAGGGCACCTAGAACCACCAACCCCCGAACCCCCTAGAGTTAGTACTGGGGTTGTCCAGCAAGCATCATAGTAAGCATCCCTATGGTGGTCCCGTGTTCAAGTTCCTCAGTGAGACCGCAGTAGAACCCATTACAGCCCTCTCGAAAGAACCCCTAAACCCTAAACCCTAAACCCTAAACCCTAAACCCTAAACCCTAAACCCTAAACCCTAAACCCTAAACCCTAAACCCTAAACCCTTTTTCCACTACACACGCCAAGCCCTGCAAACACCAAGCCCTGTAAACCCGAAAATCCGACAAGCCCCGTGAGCCCTGTGAGCCCTACAGCCCTATACCTAGCTACAGCCCCCTTAGGAATGGTGTCTATATATATATATATATCACCCGAGGGAATATTGAACATACTATACTATTTGTTTTAAGGTTCTAAGAGGAGTTTTGCTAGAATACGCGAACCCATCAAGAACCCTCAAGGCCCTTAAAGACCTTAGATACACCTCCGGACCCTTGAATGCCTCTAACAACCTACTATGCTCAAGTACAGTACCCTGTTAACCCAAAAAGGCCCTTAAACCCTAAACCCAAAACCCAAAACCCGAAAACCCTAAACCCTAAACCCAAAACACAAAAACCCAAAAACCCAACACCCTAAACCCTAAACCCTAAACCCTAAACCCTAAACCCTAAACCCTAAACCCTAAACCCTAAACCCAAAACCCAAAAACCCAAAAACCCAACACCCTAAACCCCAAACCCTAAACCCTAAGCCCTACACCCTCAACCCTCAACCTTCACCCTGAACCCTGAACCCTGAACCCTCAACCCTCAACCATCAACCCTCAACTCTCAACCCTCAACCCTCCCCCCCGAGGCGGGCTCCTCTGTTCGCCGCCTGAAGGAGCTCGAGTGTCCGGCTTCCCGGCTCGATGCAAAGGGTTTGGGGTTTAGGGTTTAGGGTAGGGAACCTCACGAGGGAGAATTATTTCAGGAACTTGCCCAAGAGCTAGCTCCTTCTCACCCCTTGCGGTAACAAATTGTGCGGAATGTTCCAGGTCCAACCCTTAAACCCTTCACTCCCTGAAAGGGGACCAACCAGACTTATTGCGCACGTCGAATAATACTATTGCCGCACAGTAACAGAACTAATTTAGTGCGGCTATTTCGTCTCTATTTTTACTCATTCATTCTCTTTTCCTTCACTAGTCAGTTTAACATGGAACGAAGGAAAGGAGACCTGACGATCCAGCTCCAGTTGGGCCATTGAGTCCATCCCCACAAGTTTCATGGGAGTAACGGGACTCAGTACGTTCCACCTGCAGCGCCGCTTCAAGACGGACCCTCTCCCAATCCATGGCAAAGTCCAGATTCTGATGACCTTCATTGAGTCGAACCGCCTCCAACGCCACGTTCGCTTCATCCAGCAGGATTTCTGTGTGCCACATATACCCCCACATTTTTTGACTCTCCAGAATCAAGAATCATCTTCACCACCCTGGAAATAAAGGGACATGAGTATTTGGTCTCTTTTCTCAAACACTCATAAAACTTCTGCCCGTACTCTTGCTCGCACTACTCATCTGTTCAACCGTCCGGTTTTCCCGGACGCCAGCCATCCGCAAGCAGAACCTGGTAAACCTCAGCAAGAGCCCGGAGACTCTCAGCTTTCCAAACTTGCAGAGTCCAGGATCATCCCGGTGACTTTTCCTCTCCATTCTTGTGGAACAGAAACGTCTGCTAAGACCGAAAAATTTTCTCTTCATAATAGGCTCTGTCTTTCGCCTCTTCCCGTTGCCAACTCTGCAACCATCGTCCAGATGCTTGCCAGTCGTCACGGCCCCATTCGCGCCACTCATCGCGTCTCCATCGACGCTGATCATCCCAAGCAGTGGCCTCCTCTTGATCTGCCACCAGCTGTGGGTCTTCAATAGACTCCTCAACACGCGTGTCCATGACCTCATCACCGTAGCGAACTGGCCTTGAGATCGTCGTTAACCGGCAACAGTGCTTCCCTTTCTTCTCGAAGGTCGAATATCTACGCACCATCATTATTGCTGTCACCGTACCAGTGACATAATCTCCAGGTCTAGAAAATTCCTCCGCGTTGGAGGAGTCATTGACCTCATTGGGTTCAGCTGCCTGCGATACACCCAGACCAGAGTCTTGTGGCGCACCTCCTGCACTATCCTCTCCATCTCCAGGCAATCCATCGCCGTCGCGTGCAGCTTCCAGAGCGATGGCGGTCTTTTCTTCTGCAGCCGATGAAATCACACATGCCACACCTACTTAGCCTACTACACCGCGCCGCAAGCGCCACACTTATAGCGCCACAAATGAATCGGTGTCTAGTTTCTGTAACTCAATCATCCCTGCCGGAGGAAGAGATGAAGCATGTGACGAACCGGGCGAACCTGGCTGTGGAGACGCCTGGCACGGCTCTTGGAAAAGACCCAAGAGGCTGAGCAGGACGTCGGGTTGGGGGGGGAGGGGGCAGCAGGGGGTCAATTTTGCCGGCTACTCAGGATCGATGGTTTTGGCAGGTTTAGCTGGGGCTTTAGCCCTGTGCTGGCTGCTTATGGAAAACATTGATGTGTGTTGCATCTTGGTAATGTTTCTTTATGCCATGCGTCAGTACAGGTCTGACGTTTGCAGCTGTGTGATGTAGTTGCGAGGCCTTTTCTTTTTGTCTTTTCTTCTTGCGTGTGTGATGGGCATGTGTCGTGAACTTGCAGAATGTTGGCTTGTCGCTTCGGGCAGGAGTTTTTGAGGTGGTGTTGCGCGAGATTCTGCAAGGCTTGCGTATTTATTGATCTTGCACGCCTGGAGATTCTGGGCTGGTCCACGTTCCGTAACAGAGTTCGATTATCTTGATTCTCGCACCTCCCGCGCCCCACGAGAACCCAATTTGCCAAAACAAAAACCCTTTGAGCTTCAGGTCTGGCTTCGTCGAGGGCATCGGCAGCTGCGCTGACGTATGACAGGGATTCGGTTGTTTTGCTCTCTTGGCATCACGGGTTTGACGCACCGTGGCGGGGGAATGGGACAGGGGTAGTGTAGCTGATGGGAATTTGCAGGGCCGACCGCCAATTTTGTGCCCATCAGTGAAGCGCCCAAGCTACGGAACCTCCCAGGAAGATGCTGTGTTACGCAGACCTCGGCGTCCACGACGGCGCAGAGACTTGCAGCGGTGAATGGCAAGTCGGGAATTCGGGCATGGTTGCGACCGTGCCTGCGTGCTCGTCTTTGAAACCACTGATTGTCTCAAGCCCAGGAATTACCGCTGCGCATCGTCGGAGAGATCCAGCTGCTGCTGCCTGGCCATGCCGACGTGAAAAACCGCCCCCTGTGGCTCGGGGTGCGTTCGTGTATAAGAACCAGAAGTCTCAGCCATGTTTTCGTCCTCTTGGACCGACTCTCGAACCTTCTCATTTCCAACTCCAGATTGTCAGGGGAAGACAGTGTCTTCGCCACCTCTGACCCACCAGCCAGAATTTCAGCAGGCGCGCCAGAACCATCTCCGTCATTATTGCCAACTAAATCATCTCCAGCGCTTCCAACCTGATCAAGCAATACCAAACCAGCAAAGCTCCAAACAGTTTGGGCGCTCCGACCAACCGTAACTCTTCCAGAGGAACTTGACAATGACGCTCCCACACCCCGTAGCTGTAAATCCAGAATTTCAGCTTCGAGTTCCACGTTCCTGCCTCCAGTGGTACGTTTCTCTCCAGCCTTAGGGTGTCTCACGTCTCCGCCAGAGCTCTCACCAGAAACCATAGCGGCCCGAGCCACGCTTTGACTCTGTGAAGTCGACCCTGACCTGGCGGTCTCTTGCTCCTCCAGAAGTGCAGTTCTAACTCGTTCCTCTCCACCACCACCAGCCTTTCCGTTGGCACCATTGGCCTCCAGTAATGGCCTCGTTCAGAACGCGGTCGTTGCGACTTTATGGCAGTCTTTTCCACTAAACCCCTGAAACCATTAACGCAGGAGTCCCACTAACTGGCTCATAACCTACGGGAACCTCACCAGGGGGAACTATTTCAGGAACTAACCCAGAGCTAATTCCTTATGATTCCTTGAGGTAACACATTTTGCGGAGTTAATGTTCCGGGTCCAACCCTTAAACCCTTCACTCCCTGAAAGAGGACCAACCAGGACTAGGGGGGTCCAGTGGAGGAATACCGGCCCTAACCCTAAACCCTAAACCCTAAACCCTAAACCCTAAACCCTAAACCCTAAACCCTAAACCCTAAACCCTAAACCCTAAACCCTAAACCCTAAACCCTAAACCCTAAACCCTAAACCCTAAACCCCTAAACCCCTAAACCCCTAAACCCCATTAAACCCCTAAACCCCTAAACCCCTAAAACCTAAGGCAGCAACCCAACCGCAGGTCCCAGTACCAACACCCCCAAACCCCAGCCTTGAAGGCTGTACTTGTACTCTTTTACAAATGGCTTCCACGCTCTTCCTTGAGCCAAAGTAATGGTGACGTGTTTTACATCCCTTCTAACAACTCTTCCTGCATCTCCGCACAGGGTTTAGTGCTCAGAATTTTGGATTTAGGGTTTAGGTTTAGGGCTCAGGGTTGAGGGTTTAGGGCTTCGGGGAGGAGCTGGTTCTGACGCTTGAAGGTTTCGGGGTTTGGGTTTCTAGGGCGTAGGGTTTCAGTGAGTCGGAGGTTTCGGGCCTCGGGGGTTGAGGACTTTAGGGCTTATTAGGACATTCCCGTTCTGCATGAGTTTTCCAAAATCAACCCCAACGGCAACCTTTCGGGCTTGTGGCTGACCAAACCCGTTCGGGTTCAGGGTTTGGGCGGGGTTTTGGAAGTCTTGGAACTTGCAACCGTAAACCCTAAACCCCAAACCCTAAGCCCTAAACCCTAAACCCTAAACCCTAAACCCTAAGTCCTAAGCCCTAAGCCCTAAGCCCTAAACCCTAAACCCTAAACCCTAAGCAAAAACCTGGACCAACCCCCAGCCTTTCGCCCATGGCTGCGCGCGGTCATGAGGGCATTTCGGGAAGAAGGTTGTCGGGTTTAGGGTTTTTGGTTTAGGGTTTAGGGTTTGAGAAGGTATTTTAGGGGGGCACGAGGACACTCCCCGGTTCCCTATGCCCCTAATGCCCTAATGCCCTACACTTCTCGAATTCTCTATCATAGAGCCTAGCGGACCACATGAAATACCTTATGTTACTATAGTCTTTTTTGGGCAGTACAAACCCTAAACCCTAAACCCGAACCCCGAACCCCTAAACCCTAAACCCCAAACCCTAAACCCCAAACCCTAAACCCCAAACCCTAAACCCCAAACCCTAAACCCCAGACCCTAAACCCTAAACCCGAAACCCTAAGTATGCCAGGCGCGCGTGCACTACAGCTGGGACTGTCTGCGGCGCCTTCTGCAAGCTCAGTCAGCCGGTCGTCGAGTCCACGTGGCTAGGCCGTTTAGAAGGTTTTGCCCTAAACCCTAAACCCTCAACCCTAAACCCCAAAACCCCAAAACCCTAAACCCTAAACCCTAAAACCCTAAGTAAACTCTGAACCCGATAGACCCTAAGCCCCAGCCCTGGACCTCAGACCTGAACCCTAAACCCTACAGCCAAAACCCTAAACCCTAAACCCTACAACCTAAAACCTAAAACCTAAAACCTAAAACCTAAAACCTAAAACCGAAAACCTAAAACCGAAAACCTAAAACCTAAAACCCTGAACCCTAAAACTCTAAGCCGTATGCTCTGTTCTAAAGACCCCTAGACACCCTAAACCCTGACGAACCCTAAGGTGTCAGGCAGAATAGGGGTGTCTGAAAATAGGGGTACCCTGTTTGGGGGGTGCCCTCAAAGGGATTTTATTTTATTTGGGGTTTCAAAGGACGGCCCATATTTTGGGAGATACCCAAATGAACAAACACCAAGGAGCCCATAAATGGGCTTTCCAACCCTCGAACCCCTCCACCGTTAGGGTTTAGGGTTTAGGGTTTAGGGTTTAGGGTTTGCTAAGGTTCCGCGCACACCACCACGCGGGACGTGTGTTGTGGTGTGCGCCCAGGTTCAACGCGCTCTCCCAACCCACCCACCCACATCTCAACCTTGGGCGGGTTTAAGGTTTTATGATGTCGTGTGTAAGTACAGTAGTGGGAGGGGGCGCTACGGGCCGCCTGCGGGTTTAGGGTTTTTTTTGCCCGGTGTTTCCAAATTATGAGGCTTATACCGGGCTTACAAGACCCATAGGTTTATGCCTTGGGCTCCCTTTGGTTAGCCCAAAAATGGTTTCATGATCCGGAGAAGGCCAAAAAGGCTCAAACAGTCCCTGAGGAGCCCAAAAAGGCTCAGTCAGAACTGGTCCGGCAGAAGCCCAAAGAGCTCAGATATGGTCCATAAAAAGCTTGCGGTAAACCCAAAAAAGCTCAGAAATTGTCCGGGAGAAGACCAAAGAAGCCCAAAAAGGCTCAGACATGGTCCGGGAGAAGCTCAAAAGCTCAAAAAGCCCAGAAATGGTCCGGGAGGAGCCCAAAAAAGGCTCAGAAATGGTCCAGGAAAAGCAAAAAAAACACAGAAATGGTCCGGGAAGAGCTCAAAAAGGCTCAGAAATGGGAAGAGCTCAAAAAGGCTCAAAAACGGTACAGGCGGAGGTCAGAAGCTCAGAAATGGTCCGGGAGAGCCCAAAAAAAGGCTCAGAAATGGTCCGGGGAAAAGCCCAAAAAAACACAGAAATGGTCCGGGAAGAGCTCAAAAAGGCCCAGAAATGGCCCAAAAAGGCCCAGAAATGGTCCGGAAAGAGCTCAAAAAGCCCAGAAATGTTCCGGGAAGAGCCCAAAAAAGGCTCAGAAACCGGGAGGAGCCCAGAAAGGCTCAGAGCTGGGGCCCCCCTGACTCTTAGGGGAGGTTGCACCAGTGCGGGGTCACTAAAAACCTAAGGTTTAGGGTAATTCTCTTTGGAGCCAGACTGACGCTGGCACGCGGGTTAAACCCTTCTAGGCGTGGGCCGCGCTCACCGCGCGCAACGGCCCCGAGCCCTCGCCAGGCTAAGGCTCGGGCTCGTCCGCGGGCCT